AGTTTGCCTTCATCTGCTAACCTCAAGGTTGGGGGTTTGAGGCCACCCAGGGGCACCACGGAAAGAAGGTCTGGTGATCTGCTTCCGTACGGATTACAGTTCTGCTCTGTAACTCCCAGGCTGGCCATGAATCAGAATTGACTCAATGCAGTAGGTTTAGTTTGGCTTTGATTTTTACAGTACAGCACACTTTTTTTCCCTGGAAGAATCTCATTTCTTAATTTCCTCTGACAAACTTGTGAACAAGTTGAGTGCTAGCGGCTGGTTTAAGGCAACTGCAGCCCCAGAGCACCCCCTCCTGCAAACTGCCCACCTCACCCTAGCTTGCAGCCTCTCTCTGAAGACACACTGGCCTAACTGTGCTTCTGCCCAGGTCTGCGGGGGTCTCTTGTCTGTTGAGCCAGCCTCACCCCTGCACGGGAATGGGATGCTCTCCACATTCAGGCTCCTTTGTCTTGGCTTTATTCTGTTTCTCTCCTCTCTTGAAAACAAGTCAAGAGAGTCGCAGGCCTGGAATCTTCAGCCAGATTCAAGCTTTAGAATCAGAACCGAAGTTTGTTGACTTTGTATGGAATCGTTTCTTGTGCCCTTTCCACATTCAGCCTTCAACTGGGAGGCTGTGGGCTCCACTGAGGGTCAGACAGCTGGAGAGAGGTGGCAGCAGGGGGAAGTTTATTGCTAAGACTTCATCTCTTTGACCTGGGGAGTTTGGTGACCTCCTGGACACTCTCTCTTTTAGCGCTGAGAAACCTCCTAACCCTTTTCAACCCCACCTTCACCCCATTCCCTGGGGAGGAAGCCAAAACTGGAGGTAGCTGATTGTCAGGGGCTGGGCTTTCACATGAATGAGAACCGCCCTGCAGATGGGTCAGCTTGGGTTCTGAGCAGCCTTGTAATGACCGTCGCTGGCGTGTTATTGGTCTTGGTTATAAAATGTTAATGACAGACACAGCAGTGCCAGGACCTGAATGAACCCATTGCCCACAGCCCCAGGACCATCATAAACTTCTGCCATCAGTTCCAGCTGATGGGACAGCAGTGAAGGGACTCCAGGGAGGCACACTGAGCCCTCCAGAGTATGAGGCCCTCGTGGGACACCCTTTTCCCACGAGCAGGCCCAGACACTGTTCAGTGTGACTCCAGGTACAAGGGATGGGTACTCCTTGCATCAAATAGCTCTGGTAACCCCTGATCCCACAAATCCAATACCCCAGCTCATTTCCCTGCCTCAGAGGGGGTCCCTATGGCAGGCTCATCTGAAAGCAAGCCAGCCAGGGAGGAAGTGCTGCTTGCTGAGGATGGTGTGACCCAGACACCCTGTCTCCCCCAACATCTCACAAGTGGCCCTGGGAGGTGGCTATTATCCCATTTTATGGATGAGGAGAGTGACACTCAAAGAGACAGGAAGCAAATACCAGAGTTGGGCCGTGAGCCCTGGTGTTTCTGTTCTTAAGGGATCCCTTTCCCTTCCCTCTGCTGTCACAGAACTCAAAACCTAAGGCCCTCTGGTTGTTCCTGACTCTGGCAACTCTTCCTCTGGGTCCAAAGCTGTGCATTTTAACAGGAGCAGACAGCCTCATCTCTTTCCCAAGCAGTGGCTGGTGACTGATGGGTTTGAACTGCTAACCTTTCATTTAGTAGCCCAGCACTTAACCTGTTAGGCCACCAGAGACCCATAAACCCAGTACCAGACACGGGGCTTGTGTTGTAGCAGAGAGAAAGGAGGACAACCCCATTTCCTTCTGATCTCAGGGAGCATCAAGCCCAAGGCCTGGTATTAGACAGAGCCAGGGGCGGGGAGGCTGGCAGACCTGCGAAGCCACTGAGCTGGGTGCTGGAGGGGCCAAGGGCACAAGGAAGTAGAGGCCTCTGCCAGGACTTCCCCAGGTGGCTGTATGGCAGAGGTAGTGAGTCATTGTCTCATGCTATTGGAGGGAATGAGCAGAAGGTTCTAGAACTGCCCTGTCTTTCTCAGTTAAGTCGAAGCACTGAGCTAGCATCACGTGACCCCTCTGTGTTTCAGGACTGGGAACTTGCTCTGTTGTGATGCGGTCACTCGTGGTCATCTGGTCATCGGCAACCACCCAGCATCCAGAGACACCTCCCGACACAATGCGGCTTTTACTTTTTTTTTTTTTTTCCTTCCCTTGGTACTGGGAATACACAACACCAGCTGTTTTATTATTATTTTGGAGGGGATGTGATTTTATTGTTTGGGTTTTTTTTAAATGAAAAATAAAAAGTTATATATATTATATATATATTATATACATGAACCACACACACCTACACCGACTTGATGACAAGGGACAGTTTTTAAGAGACTGACAAGACCAGCTGTAAAACATTGCTGTTTGTAAATTCATGTCATGCATAAATGTATTTATGTTGTAAAGCTATTTATATTGTTTATAAAGAGATATTTATAAAAATTTTATTTATGTAACTATATGGAAAAAAATCAATCATTGTAATGTTTTTGTCCTAACTAGTTGGGAAAAAAATTGTAAAAGAAAAAAAAAAGTCATCCCATGAACATCTTGGAATCTGTCTTTATTTACTCATGGCAACTATTTGGTTAGGAATTAGTCTGAGGTCGAGAGAGAACGAAAGACTTGCTTCTAATAGCATCTGACCGCATGGTCCCCCGGGCTGGAAGGACCAGCTCCCTGGAGAACTTGTTAAAAATGCTGACCTATCCCCACAGTTACAGAACTTGAATCTCCAGGGAAGACACTAGTCTTCTGGATTCTGTTCCCAAGTGGCCACTAGGCTCAGGCAGGTGAGGAAGGCCAGTGAAATTGAATCCAGCTGCTGTCAAGCTGGCTTGACTCATGACGAGCCACTATGAGTTGAAGCAATGAATTAAACGACTGCTCAATCCCGCCCCAGCTCCATGAGCAGCTGCAGAGCAGACGCTGTGATCCCCAGGGTGAAACTGGCTGATACTGAAAGGAAGCAACACACGAGCCTCCACCGACAGAGAGCTGCTGGCTTCATAAGAGGTGCATTAAGGGAGCTCTGGTGGCCTAGTGGCAAGAAGCTGCAACTGCAATGCCAGACGTTTGCAGTTTGAATCCACCAGGTGCTCTGCTGGAGAAGGAGGTGCAATCTCCTCCTGTACCAGTCAGATCCGATTTGACGGTACACGCACAAAAAAA